GGGAAGGGGGGGGGGAGGAAAGAACTGGTCGTCAGATCTGGTAACGGGACACCAGTAGGCCTGACCGACAGGCAAACTTTTTCTCTTTTTTCTTCCCTTAAAGGGGTTGAGAGGATTCGGACTAATGGCCTGTTTAATAGCCGTTAAATGTGTGTATCATTCAGCCACATTAGCTGGGCGGACGGGGAACATACTGATCACTTACTAATATCGCTTTTTCTTTCGCTCTGTTCTTTTTTTTTGTGCGCTTTTTTTGTTTCGCCTGTTTCTGTTTTTCGTTTTGTTGTGTGTGTGTTTGTGTGTGTGTGTGTGTGTGTGCGTGTCGATGTTGCTTCCTCCTTCACTTTTGTTGGTCCCTTGCCTCTCTTGGCAGCCCGGCCTAAAGCATAGCTGGAGTGCTGACATACAGGAGGAGTTTGGCAAATGGAAGATCACAGGGGCCTGGGTGGCGGTGCCGGAGGCGATGGTGAAGGGATGATAGAGCGGAGGTCATCTGCTCGGAAGAGACATATAGCTCCTCGACTTGCTGTTGTAGACGACGCTTCGCGCAAGCAGGTGAAATTGGTTGTCTTTTTCCAAAGCTCTGTTCTCGAGAGCTCGGTGCGTGTGACGTTCATTTATTGCCTTTTTCCAAAAAGGAGTGTTCTTGAAAGCTTGGGGAAGTTGGACGGGCGATTGAACATTTGAATTGGAAGACAGCATGCCCTCCATCTCTTTGCTGTTGCTTATATACATATGTTTGACGATGTATATATCATCAAACAGAGCTGCCCGGTAAACCGTAGGCAGAGAGGGAGAAGAGGACAACAAACAGCCCCTCGTTTGTTGTTTGTCACAGCCCCTCGTTTGCTGTCCTCTTCTCCCTCTCTGCCTACGGTTTACCGGGCAGCTCTGTTTGACGATATATACCACGACTTCGCTAGCACCCTGCCACCGTTTTCTCTTGTCAGGTCGAGCGGCGTCGCGACGGGACCATGCTGTGCCTCTAATGCCAGCGGCGTGTCTGGAGTGTATTTTTTGGCTGTGACCGACCTTTCTTTGTTTCGTGGGTGTGTTGCTGGCTTATGATGGGGTGTGAACCGACAGTCTGTAGAGTTTTCCATCTGGTGTGGGTGAGTGATGGTCTGCTTTGATTTTCGTCACAGGTACCTTGAGTGCGGTGGTTGGTGCCCACCTCAGGGTATCAGTTGTCCGGCAATCGTTGATGCTTAACCACAGCCGGGGTTAAGGTGGATTATCACTTACAGTGTAATCAGTTAGGGGATTCTGCAGACTGTTGAGGGTTGAGCCTCCTGATGAGTCTGTGAAAATCCGACGAAACAGTTTGTCACAGCCCCTCGTTTGTTGTCCTCTTCTCCCTCTCTGCCTACGGTTTACCGGGCAGCTCTGTTTTTTGACGATATATATAACTGTTTCGTCGGAGTTTCACTGACTCATCAGGAGGCTGAGCCCTATATATTGTATATATATTCTATATTGCCTTATATGATAATAATCTTTATGATTATGTTTTCATTATTATGCTTATATGTTCTTATTGTAGTCCAAATGGCTCCTGAGTCAGTGGCTTCAGGTGTTGTAAAGCCTTTCATGATCCTGAGACGATGCACCGTCCAGCTCATTGACGGCTGTAGTTGAAAACTGTTACATACTTCAATGAGTATGGGCAGAACCAAAGATCAACCAATGTAGGATGAGCATATATGCAGCGGAAGTCTGATAACTTGACTGACTCACATAGACTGACTCACACAGACTGACTCCAGAATCACTCCACACACATACAATCATGAGATGGTGGGGTCTGGGCCAAGCATAGACGATGCCCAGACCTCGTACACGCATACACAGATGAGAGG